ACTTTTAGAACTAGTGCTGTAAAGTTTCTATTGTTGGGATTCCCGGTGGCTCACTGGTAAAGCTAAGGGCTTATAGTGCTCAAAATATGACTTTAATATGACACATTATAACGCCCACACGTCTGAAAGGGCGAGCATGTTCAATGAAGGGGTTCTATTCCACGACCTACAGATTACGAGTTGAGTGCCGTAACCACCAGGCTATTGCCAGGCCTTCATGTTCAACGTAAAAGAAAATATATCCTGATAGACTTGGAGACTTGTGGAATTATGAATATGTTAGTTTATTTCTGTTCTTGTTTTCCTAACAATGTTCAATAATATTATGTCATTCTGTAATTTCGTTTGTTTGTTCGAATATTTGTTATTATCTCTGCAAGTTTTGATAGACAGATGTATCATTTTGAACACTTAAGCCCAGGTGTTTTCTGGAAAGTCGAGAATTTTTCTTGACCATAAATATATCGAAAATACTAGACTAAAAAAAGAAAGAAGTGTATTGCAATTTCAAAGAAAGTTTTAAACTACATGAACGTTTGAGGATGTTTGTAGAAAGATTTTATGTGGTGTTTGAATTATTGTAGGAGTTTTTTTTTCTAGCCAGTGAGAAAGCTGTTCCTACAGGTTGTTGTTTGTTTGTAGTTAAGCATAAAGCTACACAATGGGCTCTCTATAATGTACCCACCACGGTATCGAAACCTGGTTTTAGCGTTATAAGCCTAAAGACTTGCCGCTGACCCATTGGGGAGCTATTCATGCAGACTTATAGGAAGATATTACATATTAGGCTTAGCTCAATGAGTTTTTTTTTTCTTCTACTAATACACAAGGTTAAAATTTTAATTGCTTTGAATAATAATTCTATTTGGTTCAAGATCTTTATGTTGTTTACATTATTGTAATTTTTGCTTATGAACCGCAGAATGCTAATTCGTGAAAAAAAGTATACAATTTAACTGTTAATCTTAAAAGAAAAAGCCGTGTTCAAAGCAGCCGCTATGTGATAAGTTCTTAGTTTTCATTATTAACCGTTTTTAGATAATAAATCTTAAATTATATGGCTAAATTCGCATCAAGGAAAAAAAAAAGATTTATAATAATAAAATATAACGTTCCATGGCTGAAACAAACTCAGGGGTTTTGTCTTGATTTTTTTTTTATGATTCGTGATAAATGCTAACATTTGTGGTTTTGCAAGTGGACCCAAACAAGGTATGCCATAGAGCTTTCAATACTTATTATCGTCGTTATCTGTAACTACTCAGAGACCACAGTTTCATTGCTGACATATTTATACAAGTGGGCAATTGAAATTAATGTAACTATAATTTTTCCTATTTTCGTAGACCGTGCCAATTTGTACCGTAAGTATGTCTACAATCTGGAGAATTTGACCGTCTACGTGCAAGATAAAGCTCGTCTTGACGATGCAAGTACTGACAGCAGCTGTGCTTCTGTGTCACGACAGAACAACGCCATTTTTCAACAGAGACTGCACTTCGAATGTTCGCAGATTCAGAATGGTCGTTACGTTTATATCCATGCATCTGGCATAGCAAACACGTGGAATAGACTATTTTCTGCTGTTCTATGTGAGGTCATGGTGTACTGACCAATCGGCGACCTTGTAACTTCATAAACTATTGAATCACGTTAACGTTTGGATAACTTCTCACCTTAGTTCATCGGTGCACTTCACAATGAGTGTTTTAAAATGCCACGTAAACTATATCATTAAAGAACACCACCATCATAGCGGGCTTTCCTCTATAAAACTTATTGCGAAACATGGAACGTGAGTCGGTTAAATGTATATACATTTGTACTTTACAATTTGTTTTAGTAGGAAGAAACAGGGCGTATTAATAAAATCTTAATATTATGATAATATTCGCGGATGAACACATACACAAATAAACGTTACGCCATATACAATTCATTATTATACAGTAATAGTAAAATAATTATTGGGATTGTGATGCTTCAATGTTTGCCGTTGGAATTCACATTGTTTAATCAGTCGAAGGGTTACATTAATCAAGATATTCTGGATGAAAAAAGTACAATTTTAATCGGTGAATTATATATGTTGACAGAGAAAAAAAAATTAACGAGATGAGTAACCCATAAATGGTCAGAATTTATGTATCGTTTACAAATAAGCTAACTTGTTAATATATTTTTGTCGGGTAAAATCATTACTGTCATTCGACAAAAGGAACACCAATTGGAGCTTGCGTATATATTTAACTTGTGATTAAAAATCGAAAAAAGAGCGTCGCACAGAGCATACAAATAAAATCATGGATGAAGTAAAAAGTGTGTCAGTGATAGAAGTATCTTCAAGAGTAGAATATGCACAGTGTTGGAATACATCTTCTATTGGATTTAACCACTTTTCGCAATCTCCATTTGTACAAATATGAAAGTGGAAATAGGTACAAATGTTGATGCTTAAGCCTAAAAAGGCTAACAAGGAGAGTGATGAAGACAATTTTCCCCTCATTTAGCATTACGACCCCTAAAATGGTACAAATAACTTGCACGTTCTAATAGCAATAAAAAGCATTAAACTATAATATATAAGAAATAACGTGGAATTTAATTCATCTAATATTTAAGCATAAGTCCCTAATGGGTCAGCGGTAAGTTAACGGACTTACAACGCTAAAATCCGGAGTCCCAGCGGTGGACACATTTTGGTAGATTTGCGTTGAAACAAATAAACTAAAAAAAAAACAGTTTAAACATAAAAAATATCGCCTAGCATTTTGTTTTAAGCAATCCCATTTTCATATATAATTTTAATCTTCTGGATACAAGACATTGTTGGAATACAACACTGAAATATGTTGCTGTTCTTCAGTCTACTTTTTGTACATATGAGGCAATCCCCAAAATTGTATGGACCTTATACTTTCGTCCATACCACAACAACTACGATAAATTAGACATTACTCTCTGTAATTGGTTTTATTAAAAGTCTTAAAACATGTGTGTTTCTCTAATATTCTTTAAATAAAAATTTCTTAAAGTATGCAGACGTTATGTTGATAAATATATTTTATTCTTATATTTTACGCTTAGCACATCAAATGTTTTTGCTATTATTTAAACGATATAACACGAAAAGCACGCGTATATATGATTTCGTGGCGTTTTTTGTTGTTGTTAATTTAAATCCTTGAGTACGTTATATTAAAATGATTTGTAATATGTAAATCAACAGGTCACATGACAAGAACAGCCGATATAAAGTCGCGGTGGAAATGCACATATCAGAACTTCATTTCGATGTAACGTTGTTTGGCGTGAGTAGTGTGATGTAACCAAAGTTTGATCGCTTTTGAGAAGGATACGTAACATCCCTTTTCCACGCAAAATATTCATACGCTCAGATCATACAGACGTGTCCAGATAGGAGATTGTTTGTTTTGAATTTCGCGC